AAGTGTCAGCTCAGAATGTTTGGAAAACTTTAATGACAGGCAACAACTATTTTTCACTGCTCTAGAACTGTTTCAGGAAATGGAAAGAAGCCAAAAAGAATGTTACATTGATCTAACCCACAGGTTTGAAATACTGAGATTCCCTCCATCCTTCATCTGCTGAATTAAATCTGACAGGCATTATAGCACCCATCAATATATACAGACAGTGAAAGGGAAAATCAGATCTGCATGAAGATAGTCCACAGCATATTTCAGAATAGATTCTTCTCCTCTGTCTTCACAGATTCTAGGAAACTCTACTTGTGGGTGAGGGTTCTGTCTCTCACTGCTCCTCCACCATCCTGTTCCCCCTTCTTTTTTCTCTCAACTTTTGTTGTAGCTAGGATCGGACAGCTTTGACAAATAGGGGGACATGTTCTAAATACACCTCTACCCCGAGATAATGCGACCCGATATAACACAAATTTGGATATAACGTGGTAAAGCAGTGCTCTGGGGGGCGGGGCTGCACACTCCGGCGGATCAAAGCAAGTTCGAAATACCACGGTTTCACCTATAATGCGTTAAGATTTTTTGGCTCCTGAGGATAGCGTTATATCGGGGTAGAGGTGTACAAGCAGTCTTTAGCTTAATCTAATCTCATTCACTGGCTCTTCCCACAGGCAAACCTTCTCGAATAATACAATGCTTTACTACCAAAGTAATAGGGAACTTCAGAAATACAACAGCTAAATCAGATCAAGTACTAAGCAGCTTGCCATGTGAGAGTCATTTGGCCATCCTGTCTGCTTTGTTCCACTGCGTTTTCAATTAGAGTACATTTGCCTGGTGTGTATGCACATAATTTCTTGTTTCCCACGGTTGCAGGGTGACATGCATTGCTTGTCCACTTGGCTGCCAGTCTCCATATCACAGAGAGTTGACTGAAATTCCACAATAAGTGGAGTGATTTCTGCATGTAATTAGGGCACAATCCTGCAGTCCCTATATAGGCAAGATTCCCACTGACCTCAGTGGAAGACTTGTTTGAACAGGAACTGCAAAACCAGGCCTATAGCTTATAAGTCACTCTGGGATCCTTTACAGTAAAAAGTCACTATATAATCAAAGGTCAGTATTACCAGACTACAGAAAGGCAGTACTTCCAAGAAGGTCTGACTACACGTAAAATAACCCCATGCTAACATCAAGATGTAACATGGAGAAAAGGAGCTTCTGGACTGTTACGTCTCTATGTATTTATTTATTTAGTGGAGAGGGGGATTCAGTTTCTTCAGAGATTTAAAGGGTGTTGAGATGACAAAGATACACAGAGATAATACAGGTCTCTCATTACCACCAGTTACAGGCTTGCAGCTTGTTTCCCTAGACGACATGCCAATATCATGGCACATAACAACATGCCACACAGCAACCACCACTGCTGAGGTGCAGCAGTAACAGCAAGGAGAAAGCAGCAGGGCTCTGCCTGTGAGGGCAGGAAGGGTGACAGGCAGCATTTCAGGAGCTAACAACACAGACAGACCACAGAGACCCTGTGCTGCAGAGTCTCTTGTCTGGCACGTAGGGTATTCAAGTGGCGAGGGGGCCAGGGGTGCTCACAGCACAGCGCCCGTCTCCCGCCACCTGCTCCCCCAGCCACCCCCAGCAGGGCGGAGAGGAGCCACCAAGGCCAATGAGATTAACCCTTAACCCACCAGCTCCAGCCACCCCAGGCAGGTCGGTGCATGGGGCTGGGGGATGGTAAGAGGACTCGGCCCCGCTCCATCTCCGGGGGCGGTTTAAGCCCAGCGGCTGCACTGTGGTTTGTACTTTACAGATGAGCCCTGGGTCTGGATGTGCCGGATCCCCCGGGACATCAGGGGCCGTCTCTAAAGTGCCCGCCCGCCTCGCCGGCGAAGAGCTCCCAGCCGCCATGGCCTCGGCGGCCGGGCAAGGAGCCTGCAGCGTTATAGCCCCTCCCCCCACACACAGCCCCTCCCCCACACACAGCCCGCCGGCACATTCACATCGCTTTCCAGTCCCATCACGAGAGAGCGGGAGCCGGTACCTCGGATATCCACCGCCGCCATAATTCCCAGCACGGCGCACTTCCGCCCAGCGCGGGGTTTGCCCTCGGGACAGGAAATCATAGAGAGCAGGAAGTGCAATAGAGCGACAGAAAACCATAGAGAGAAGGACTAGAGCGGCAAGGGCCACAGTGCGGGGGGCAGGGAAGGTGGAGGACTCCCTGTGGGATTCAGCTCTAGTCGAAGTCAGAGGGCCCTGAGGGGTCTGGGCCCAGCTGCTGCTGCGCGGCACAGGGTTATTTTTCCTTCCCAGCAGCCCCAGGCTTCCTGCAGTGGGGCGGGTGCACCAAGCCAGGGGTAGCTGGCATCACATGGAGCAATTCCCCAGGTTAATACGGCCTGGGCCACGGGGACGCAGGACCCCGGGGCGGCAGAGGATGCTGAATGTTGTCATCCCCGAGCATTCGTGAATCAGGATCCAAAAGAAAAAAAAATCACAGATTGGCTCACAAATAACAAGGGTTTCTAAAATTAACAAAAGGAGGTGCTTACTGTTTGCCTGCTGCTGCTGGTTTTCTTGTATGTAGTCCTCAGGGGTCATGTTCGCAAGCCTGCCACCACCAACACAGGGGGTAAAAACATCCTTTTTCCAAAACACAAAGCTCGGATTCTGACATAACAGCATGATTCCCAGAGGTGGGGCTTTAAGAAAAACACTATGTATCACAACACTTGGGATAAAATGGTGAGAACTGACAACACTGTAATGGCCAGTGCAAGCTGGTATCTGTCGCCTTTGTGGGCCACCTCTCGATGCTAAAGATGAAGGTGGCTACAGATACATTGTAAGTTCCTTTGGGCCACAAACAGGGTAGCCATCTGTACTTCAAGAAGATAAAATATGACCGCATGAAAAGGGAAAGACACAGCTAGTTTTCAAGGGAGAGCTGTTGCTGCCTAGCCAGTTAGTCCCCATTCTGTATGTGTGCAAGTGATTGTTCCTTCCTAATTGCAGTACTTTTCATTTGTCCTTGCTGAATTTCATCTTACTGATTTGAAGACCAATTCTGCAATTTATTAAGATGATTTTGAATTCTAATCCTATCCTCCAAAGTGTTTGCAACCCCTTCCAGCATGAAGTCACCAGCAAATTTTAAAAGTGTATACTCCATCACCCAGATCATTAATGAAAATACAGGTATTGAATAATACTGGACCCAGGACAAACCCCTGTGGGTCCTCCCAGTTTGACAGCGTACCATAAATAAACTAGGGAAATAAAACCTACATGGAACGACTATAAGGTGGCTGCATAACTGGTTGAAAAACCATTACCAGAGAGTAGTTATCAGTGGTTCACAGTCAAACTGGAAGGGCATAACAAGTGGGGTCCCCCAGCGATCAGTTCTGGGTCTGGTTCTATTCAATATCTACATCACTTATTTAGATAATGACAGAGAGTACACTTAAACATTTTTGGATGATACTATGCTGGGAGGGGTTGCAAGTGCTTTGGAGGATAGGATTAAAATTCAAAAGGATCTGGACAAACTGGAGAAATAGTCTGAAGAAAATAGGATGAAATTCAGTAAGGACAAATGCAAAGTACTGCACTTAGGAAGGAACAATCAGTTGCACACATAAAAAATGGGAAATGACTACCTAGGAAAGAGTACTGTGGAAAGGAATCTGGAGATCATAGTGCAGGGGTGGGCAAACTACAGCCCCGGGGCCGCATTCGGCCCTTCAGACATTTTAATCCAGCCCTCGAGCTCCCACCGGGGAGGAGGGTCCGGGGCTTGCCCCCCTCCGGTGCTCCAGCCGGGGAATGGGGTCAAAGGCTTTTCCTGCTCCGTGCGTGCCGTGGCTCCACGTGGCTCCTGGAAGCAGTGGCATGTTCCCCCTCCAGTTCCCACACGTAGGGGCAGCCAAGGGGCTCTGCACGCTGCCCCCATCCCAAGTCCCACCCCCACAGCTCCCATTGGCTGGGAACCATGGCCAATGGGAGCTGCAGGTGCAGCGCCTGTAGATGGGGCAGCGCGCAGAGCCACCTGGCCACGCCTCCACGTAGAAGCCGCAGGGAGGACATGCCGCTGCTTCTGGGAGCTGCTTGAGATAAGCGCCACCTGTAGCCTGCACCCCTGACCCCTTTCAACCCCCTGCCCCAGCACTGATCCCCCTCCTGCCCTCCGAACCCCTTAGTCCCAGCCTGGAGCCCCCTCCCGCACACTGAACTTCTCATTTCTGGACCCACCACAGAGCCCGCCCCCGCAGCCAGAGCCCTCACCTCCTCCCGCACCCCAACCCCCAATTTCGCGAGCATTCATGGCTCGCCATACAATATCCATACCCAGATATGGCCCTTGGGCCAAAATGTTTGCCCACCCCTGTCATAGTGGATCACAAGTTAAATGTGAATCAACAGTGTAACACTGTTGCAAAAAAACCAAACATCATTCTGGGATGTATTAGCAGGAGTGATGTAAACAAGACGTGAGAAGTAATTCTTCCGCTCTACTCTGCACTGATTAGGCCTCAAATAGATATTGTGTCCGATTCTGGGTGCCACATTGCAGGGAAAAATGTGGACAAATTGGAGAAAGTCCAGAAAAGAGCAAGAAAAATGATCCAAAGGTCTAGAAAACATGACCTATGAGAGAAGATTGAAAAAATTGGGTTTGTTTAGTCTGGAGAAGAAAAGACTGAGAGGGGAAATAATAACAGTTTTCAAATACATAAAAGGTTGTTGTTCTTCTAATCCTCTGAGGATAGGACAAGAAGCAATGGGCTTAAATTGCAGCAAGGGCAATTTAGTTTGGACATTAGGAAAAAACTTCCTGTCACAGTAGTTAAGCACTGGAATAAATTGCCTAGGGAGATTGTGGTATCTCCATCATTGGAGATTTTTAAGAGGAGGTTAGACTAACACCTGTCAGGGATGGTCTAGATAATACTTAGTCCTGCCATGAGTGCAGGGGACTGGATTAGATGACTTCTCGAGGTCCCTTCCAGTCCTTCAATTCTAAGACTGATAACTGCTCTTTGAGTACAGTCTTTCAACCAGATATGCACCTATCTTATAGTAATTTAATCTAGATCATATTTCTGTAGACAACCAGGCCATAGGCAGTCAGGCCTAACGGTTGAAATGAGAGTTCAGTCTACAGGTTAGAGCTGGGTCCAGGGTGGTTAGAATCCAGCATGGCCATCTCTAGCTATTTTGGTGCCCTATGGTGGAGCCCCAGGCCTCCGTGGGCGGAAAGCAGGGCGGGAGGGGCTGCCCCAAATTTCCTGGTGCCCTACGCAGCTGCATACTTTGTGTATGGGTAAGGATGGCCCTGGAGTCCAGGAATGAGCTGAGGATCAGTACCACAGGCACAGAAGCCAAATGTCAGAGATGTACGGTAAACCAGAGTCATAAGCCAGAGGTGGAGCTGAGGATCAAACCCAGAGGTCAGAAGCCTGTGCAGGTGGTAGGTGGAGCAGAAGAAGGTTCAAGAACAAGGCAGGAGCAAGACAGGAACCAGGCAGGACCAAGGAGTGGAGGTAGGCTGGAGCAAGGGCTGAAAGCAAGAGCCAGGCAAGCACAGCTGTGGGTGTGGTTCACATTCAGCAGCCATTGATCTCCTGTGGATGCCAGGCCTGTAAGCAGGGCTGCTAAACAAACAGCCAATGAGGTGCTGTGGCTATTCTGTCAATTCCAAGGCAGTGCAGTGGGGCTCATTGGTTGCCTATAGTGATGTTATTCAAGGAGAAGGCCAACAGCTGATCCTAGCTGGTCTGGCCCTGACAGCACCTCTCTCCTTTTGGGGTTGCTCTCCAGGAGCACTTGGGCTGGGTTTCTCGGGGAAGGCCCAATGGAAGGCAAGCAGGAGGTTCAGGACATGAGCGTGTTCCACATGTTCCCATGGCCGCTCCTCCAGGTCATAGCCATCCCAGTCAATTAGATATTGGAGTCTTCCCTGGACTCGGCAGGAGTCCAGAATCTGCTGGATCATGTATTCCTCTTGGTCCTGCATGGTTATCGGCAGGGAAGGAGTAGAGCAGTGCGGGAAGGGATTTTCAACAAAAGATTTCAAGAGAGAGATGTGGAACACAGGGTGACTCTTAAGGGATTCTGGCAGCTGCAATCAAAATTTTACTGAGTTATGTTCTGTGATTGCAAATGGCCTTAGTACTTGTGGCCCAGCTTCATGGATGCACAAGCGAAACCCTGTCATTTACTGTGAAGTTGGGGGTCGTCTGATGGTGAGTGTCAGCATGGTATTTGTATGTTGTCTTAGTCTCTTCTAACTGGTGCCTGAGTCCTTGATGCACTTGCATAGGTGCTGGAACTAGGTGTGCCGCTGCACCCCCTGGCTTGAAGTGGTTTCCATTATATACAGAGTTTACAGCTTGAGTCAAGTGCTCTCAGCACCCCCAACTATACAAATTCTGTAGACAACCAGGCCATAGGCAGCCCTGTGTACTTGGTGAATGTTGAGGAAGATTTTGAGCTGATACCAAGAGTGGAGCCCATAATTTGTGAAGAAAAGGGTCTGTTGATTCGGGGCATGTGTGGAGTTGTAGGCGAATTCGGTGTGGGGAATGAGTTCCAGCCAATCGTCCTGGTAGTTTAGTAAGCAGCCTAGGTCCTGCTTCAGGACTTGATTGACTCACTCAACAGTTGAGGTACGAGGTTTGATGCCAAAAAGATGCAGAAATTCCCACAAAAAGCAAGAAATGAACGGGGACTCCCAGTTGGATACTATGCTTGTGGACAACCCATGAAGGTGAAAGATGTTGTCTTTGAATAGACAGGCTATTTCCTGGGTGGTGGAGAGGCCGCAACATGGTATAAAATGTGCCATCTTCATCAGGAGATCAACTACTACTAGAATCCTGGTGTACTCTTGGAAGGGCAGCAAGCCCTGATTCCTGATACCTAGAATAATAAAAAGACAGACATCTTTTTTGTATTTTTTTAAATCTAAATAAATAACTAGATAAAAACTGGCACTCTTCATGGTGCTGTTATTTGCATGTTATTTAATTATTTTTGTTCCTAGTACAATTATTGTTTTTTTTCTATTATGGTAGTTCCTAGCAATCCCATCCGGGAATCAGAGCACTATTGTGCTAGGCACTGTACATACATATAATAAAAAAGACAGTACCTGCTCTAAACAGCTCAGTATATAAAAGGTTTGATAGCCCTGGAGACTGCAGTCCTCTACCCACAGAATAGGTACAGCATGAGCAGTGGCAGTGCAAGCCTCACTTTAGCTGTTTAGCAGATGTACCTAAACTCTGACTTGAAAGGATCACCTCTAGGAACAAAAGGGAACTTTGGCTTCATGGCCCATGTAGATCCTTGGGCAGTCTACTGACACTCATAGCAAGGAAGCCAATTAATGTCAGTCAGGTGGTAGTTTTTTTGTATATACACCTGCCATTAAGCACTAGACAACTCTCAGCTTTTCAGCAGCCTCTGAAATGAGTTATCAGATCATAACAACCTTTTGGACACTACCCCCATGTGCTGTATTTGAACTGGCGAGAAGCTCCATCTCCCATTACCAGTCCCCCACATGCACAATTCTAAAGTGTATGCACAGAGAATACACTCCCTACACTAATGCAGAACTGCAAGGCTTGAATTACTTATGAAATATGAGTGGGTTGCTATTGGGTTTACAGTAAATGGTGCTAGGAGAATTCCTTGAAATTCTTCTGGCTTTAGAACAATATGAAACCACAGAACAAAGTACCCACTGAAGTAACACCAAGTAACTCTGAAAAAATGCTGGGCAATGCAGGGCAAAGATTCAAAAGCACATCACTGAAAAAAAGACAGACAGAAGGACTTGACTTACAGACCCAGTGTCTACTTTGACACTGGCCTTTGTGAATTTGTCAGACGTATCATTAAAACAAGATGATAGTTTTGCTGCTTGAATGTTCTTTTTGTTTAACCATAATTTATTTTAAATGCAGAATATTTTCAGGGTATATGACAATGGTGTGACATTGCACTCCCTATGTTTATGGAAATATGCTTATGAGTGTGAATATAATGTAAACTGAAATATGTTTTATGCAAAAGGTCTCTTGTAAGGTATCATTACAAAGCTTATAATCTACTGAGTGTGTTCATCCTATTTGTACGTATGTATCATTCTTGTATCTGAAACTAGAAATATGAAGTTAACTCTGAGCTCCTACTGTAATTATGCAAAGTGTGGGCCATTAATGGTGGTTTAGAATCTTGATGGCACCCATTCACTAGGACAATTGGCTGTAAATGGCTCTGTTTAGCTACAAGCCTTCCTGTGTATGTGAAGTGGATAACGAAGTCTCACAGGACATGTGAACATGTCACATGATACTGAAATCCATCTTAAACCTGGTGCTTTTCCATTTAGAAGGAAGGGTGGGAACCCAGAGAGAGACCAAGGATTCCTGCCTTGGGCCAAAGCTATAAAAGGGGTGGAGCAGAACAAGGGGGGCTGCAGTCATGAGAAATCCCCAAGTTACTACCTGAGCTGGAACTAACAAGAACTGTACCAGGGGAAAGGATTGGGCTGAGACTAGGAAGGAGTCTAGTCTGTGAAAGAAGCTTATTGGAACATCTCTGAGGGTGAGATTTACCTGTATTCAGTTTCTAAATGTATTAGGCTTAGACTTGTGTGTTTTGTTTTATTTTACTTGGTGACTTACTTTGTTCTGTCTGTTATTACTTGGAATCACTTAAATCCTGCTTTTTATTCTTAATAAAATCACTTTTGTTTATTATTGAACCCAGAGTAAGTGATTAATACCTGGGGGAGCAAACAGCTGTGCATCTCTCTCTATCAGTGTTATAGAGGGCAGACAATTTATGAGTTTACCCTGTATAAGCTTTATACAGAGTAAAATGGATTTATTTGAGGTTTGGATCCCCTTGGGAGACAGGAGTACCTGCTGAGTGGTTTTCAGTTAAAGCCTGCAGCTTTGGGGACATAGTTCAGACCCTGGGTCTGTGTTGCATGTCTGGCTCCACAAGACAGGGTTCTGGAGTCCCAAGCTGACAAGGAAAACAGGCTCAGAGGTAGTTTCAGCACATCAGGTGACAGTCCCAAGGGGGTCTCTGTGACCGAACGCATCACAAATGGTCTCACATTTCTATAGCCCATTCCATCCCAAAGGATTTCAAAGCACTGTATTGTCAACAAGGAGGTGCTATTCTCTCTTCTGTACTCCTGAGTCCTGACATCTGATCTAGCACACAATTCAATATTCTTCATATATATAGCACCCTGACCTTTTCATCTCTTTGCAACATCATACTATGTACAAATAATAATACAATGTACATTAATGTTTAATGGAGTTTATGTAATGATCAATGATTAAAACTAGTTCTATCTATCTTGATATTTCTGGAGTGCCTTTAATCTTGATACCTAAGCACTGGTTCATACAACGTGCATATGAAAGGTAATACATATGTTAAATAAAGACTCCTTCAGAGCCGTTATGTTCTGTAATGCCATTCCCTACTCCAAGACCCAGCTCCCCAGCATCTAACGTGCAGAATGCAATATGGATCTGAAGAAGTGGGCAGTAGTCCACGAAAGCTTATGCTCTAATAAATTTGTTAGTCTCTAAGGTGCCACAAATACTCCTGTTCTTTTGGCGGATACAGACTAACACGGCTGCTACTCTGAAACCTGTCAGAATGCTAATGTCGATCTTCTCATACTTTTCGTCACTGTCAATGGATTTGAACCAGTGAGCTAAGTGAAAAGCTCTGTGTTTACCATTGGAAATCCCCAAAGTCATCTTCCCTCACAAAGACACTGTGGCCCTTAACGGGATAATAGCTGTAAAGCATGTTGAGATCCTTAGATGAAAGCTGCTACAGAAGTGCACACTGTATTTGTGCCCTGTGTCTATACCAGACCACAAATATCGTATGTCTTTTGAGTTCTGAACCTCACATCTATTTAATTTGCCAAATGTTCATTCCTTTTCTGAATAATTACTGCAGGCATTCAACCTGATGCTAGCTGAGGTGCATATTCCAATAATTATATTGATATAGAGTCAGAGAATTTAAGGTCAGAAGAAACCATCATGATCATCTAGTCTGATCTGCTGCACATTGCAGACCTCAGAACCTCACCCACCCATTCCTGAAATAGACCCCTAACCTCTGGCTGAGTTATCGAAGTCCTCAAATTATAATTTAAAGACTTCAAGTTACAGACAGTCTGTCATTTACATACACAATGTATGCTGTATACATAAACATGGGTTGTGCAGGGGATTTTGTGCTCATAAACAGTGTCATGAAAATGGAGCTGGAGGGTTATTTTCTTTAAAAATCCTAAACTGTGAACTAGCTTATATCTTCCTTAGAGCACTCCTTTCAATTAGGCTGTTGTCCATGCATATAGTTTTCATAACTACAGCTAAAGATATGCATTGACTACAGAAAAAAATGACCTGGCTTGTATCATTTTCTTACTAGAGCAGAGAAGATCTAATTGATATGGTAATTACAGTGATGACTGCAGCTGATGACCTGTCCAGACTAGAGTTCCCAACATTGCTAACAGTGTTGGAGTACAAACTGAAAAAACTTGAGGGGGGTGGGGGAGGCATTGGGCATTAAAGGGCTCCTTGCTTGGCACTGTTAGAGTATCATCACACCCTCACAATGCTTTATTAGAGTCATCAGTTCAAGGATTCATGGGAAGAAGGACAAAAATCTTGCCAACATCTAACAAGCTTCCTGAAAAAAAAGACTTGCAATATAGTTCTATACCAGGATGATAGAACAGAAGAATTATTATAAGAATGCCAAACAGGACCTCCATAGCAAGCGGGAGAGAATGTTGGCTTCTAAACATAAGGTAATAGCTATTCTATATGCCCCAAGGTCATACATTATAACCACACTTGGGGTTCAGTCCCAAAGGAGGAACAGCAGATAAACAAAAACAGGGAGGTCACTAGCTGTATGCTTCTTGAGAACATCTGGAATGCTACTGACAGTGCTGCATGGTAGAAGAAACACAAAAGCCCACCTAATTATTAATAAAGAAAAACATATACAGGCTTCAGCTGGTGGCTACATCTCAGTGGCACAGAAGGAACTGTTCAGTGAACAAGAATGACCATGTGATCAGAAAGCCATGGAGATTCAGACATAGTAGCAACTGACAGATGCCCAATAAGAGGCAAAATAATCCTCTCCTCTGTCATGGCGGGGGAGAGGAGGGAGAGAGTCATTGACTGACCTCTGCCCTACTTGACTCCCTCTGTGGTTTATCAATTGGCTGGATTAGTTTGTGGGCTTTGGCTTTGATTGATATTATGTTTTATTAGCATTTGATTTTCAAAAAGAAAAAAAGATCACCAGTAGCCACTGGCCTCAGTGGAGCCAGATGCCTGTTCCTATGGCAGGAAGCAGTAATCTTTTGTAACTGTAACCCACATCAGGTAACTGGGACCAGGGAAATAAAAAGCAGTCTTTTATCAGCACTTATGTGTATTGCACACTTATTGCAGTTGCCACACTGAAAAAAATAGTGATGATAAAAGTATCTGCAGACTCACTAAAAATCTAGCCATTTACAGGATAGTGTCAAGTAGACTCCCATTTTAATTTTTGAGCAAGGCTTTAGAAAACCTAACAGGATCAATTTGTGAAGTCCTGGGGTTTGATGCTGTTCTTACTCAGGCAAAACACTCACTGATTGGAATGAGTGTTTTGACTGAATAAGGACTTCACAATTTTGAGAAATAGAAATAGATTTTTTCATTTTTTTAATTTCATTGAAAATAGCATTTTTGTTTGGTTTCAGGCCTTCCTCAACAGCACAGAACTAATAACCTAATTCAACTGGCATGCACGAAACCCAGCAAATTGGACTGGATGCAGAAAGTGAAAATGAAAAGCCTAGTTTCATTGTTCAAGATGAATGAAAGTGCAAAATTAAACAAACAGCAGCAGTGGTGGAAAGCAAATGAATGATTTATGTTTCTTTCCATTTGAATAATCAAAGGTATTATTAATGGCTAAGGTAAGAGATTTTCTTTTAATGCATAATTTTCATCTCAACTGTGCCCCTTTGTTCAAATAATCTCTGTTCTTCAGCACCTTCTACATACTTCACACAGATTTCTTAACCTTCTATGGAATGTTAATATGTTAATTTCATCACTTTCTCAGGCACCTAATTACCCAGGCAGCCAACTGATTGGAGGGCTTCCTCCCTGCTGTCCTTTCATGTTATTCTTTACCAGTGCTTGTTGCCTGGTAACCCTAAGTCCCCTTCTTTCCCTCCCACTAATTTTACACGACTTGTTTCCCTACCAACATTCATATCCTCAGTGGTGTCTTTCTTGTCCGACTGTGACTCCCTAGCACCGCCTCTTGAAGGTCATCAAGTGACCAAAATGTTGATCAGAGCCTATTTTTTTGTCACTCAGCAAGATTAGAATCACTTGTAATGACCTTTTCTGTTTAAATGAACAACCATTTGCACAGCTGGATAAGCAGAGACTTCACCCTCCTACCCCTTTCATTTTGAGCCCCGGGCAAGACCAATCATTCTCTCCCTTGGGCCAACATGGAAGGCACCTGCATGAAGCTCTCCGTGGGGTCAGGAATCCATGGCTTGGGAGGGGTGGGTGAAGGCAGGGTGCTCAGCATCCCTACATCCCAGAGGGAATCTGGCAGAAAGTCGCCCTTCCCACCACTGTGTTCCCCGTGAGTCCCCTTCATTCCCATGTTCCCCAACCTCCTGAAATTGTCCAGCACCCCTATACTCCTCCTGAGCTCCCAGTCCTCCACCTTCCTATGTTCCCCAATGTAGCATTCACCCTCATGCTTCTTCAATCCCCAACTGCTTCCTTACATTTGCAAACCTATCACATCCCCCATGCCTTGCCTGTACCCCATAGCCGTGCATGTCCCACTCTGATTCCTCCTGCTCCCCACTCCCTTCTCCTGTCCCATTTTACTCTCCTGCCACCACATATTCCCTTTCCTGCTCCACCCCCCACCCCCCCACACACACACACACACTCGAAGTGAAGTCCCTTTCATTAAAACAGCAACTGTTCACGTCCTAACATCCACCTTGGTACTTCAGAACAAATACAATGTAGTATTCAGTTCTCCAGCAGTGTAATGTTAAAGAGGCTGATTATGCTTGTAAAGTATAATATTGTGCTGAATGTAAAATAGAATATTAAAGGGTCCACTTGGAAGTTGGATTGGCTCATAAACCACTACCAAATCTGAGAACAGAGTTAAGGTTGTTTGGATCCTGATCATTTGGATGTTTTCTGTTTAATAGTCTATGTGCTTGGTAGTAGAGTTGGTGTCAGAAATGTTCCTATAACATTAATGATTTCCAAATGTTTAGGGCGGAACGTCAGGAGTGTCAAAGTGACCTTAATGCCTTCCTCAGACCTTGGGCCAGCCAGAGATGAACAAACAATCACCACAAGTTAGAGCAGCCTGTCCTAAACTACACCAGCTAGAATGGCTCCTGAGGGACCAGTCCAGTGGTTGGAAGTTAGCAAAAAGCATCATGCTCCAGCCTTCACTCTTCATCCAAAACATACCCACCCCACAATGGCCCTGCACGGTCTGCAAGGAAGGGGTGTGATCAGGAGGAGCCAGTGAAAAGCCCATTACACCAACTTCACACAATTTCGGGATTCAGTTAGGGCTGGTGAGGGTCCCTGTATGCTGCTCCGCAGGGCAAAGACATCTTAGAAGGGGTTGGGGTTCTCATCCTAATGTTCAGGTTTTTAAAATATGTTTTAGTACTATTGATGCTGTATCAGTTATTGAATTCCATCAGCAATCTCAATTATAACTTAATTCTTTTTTTTCCCCGTTATTTACTAGATATTGATAATGTTTCCAGAATAGAGTAGGTGAAAAAGTTAACTTGTACATATTATTTGGCATAACCTTTTTCCACTGATACCAACAGAGAATGACGTTTACTCCAATAATGTTGATGGAGAATGTACTTTATGCCACTGAATCAAATACCTTAATCTCTTATGATGACCTCCTGATTCCAATGCTAGATCGAGTGGCAGCTCCAGCTCTCCACCTCCAAGCACCCAGGAGCCTCATCTTCAGGGCCTGTAGAAAAGAAATGAATTAGTAGTTGAAGATTAGGTAAGCCCTAGGGCGTGGGGCTGGGAAATGTGCTGATCCTTTGAAACAATAAGATGTGCTATATTAACACCGTATATACCTGTCAAGGAAACCAGCAGCGTCAAAGCTTTATTTGCCAGGTGATTAAAATTTGTGATGCAACACATATGACTACTGAATCATACTGGGGGAATAAATGTAAGTGAATAGAAGGAACTAGAGAGCAGAATTTTCAAAGGCTTGTGTGGGGAAACTAGCAATTTAGGCAGCTAGAAGGAATTTTTTGCCTCCTTTGTCTACACAAGGCATTTTCTAGAAAGAGGATTTGCTTGGCCACAAAGGGCCTTGTGCCCATGGGCGGTAAGGTTGCGGCCTTATCCTCCTTTTCACCCAGAAGCTGCTGCATGGGGCTGGAGTTCCATGAATAGAGAAGAGGCTAATTTCCTCATAAAATCCACAGGAAATCCTCACAAAGTGTAATAATACGGACTCTTATATGGATTTACTCCATGCTGTAGAACTCCTCTGTGCAGGGAGGAGAGTATCAGTAGAGCCAGAGGGTTGGGCCTGGAGCCAATGTAGAGGCCCAAGGGACCTCTGTTAAAATAGCTCAGGCCTGCAGCTCATGGGGGATCCTCACTTTTGGGGTATGTGCTTCCTCTTTTATTTCCTAAAAGAGGAGCAAACTTCCCCTGACAGATAATTGTCTAGGAAATCCCACAAGAGGAACCTTGTGGAGTTTCCAGTCTCCTACCTGGGTTTTTGCCAGATAGGATAGCCTGGGCTTTTGTGAATACCACACCACTCAACCAAGTGTCATGTGATCAAGGCTGACAAGGTGTTCAGCCACCCGAGATTGAGCAATAACAGAACTGTGATGCCCTTAGATGTCTGGGGCTGCACACATGCTACATTGACAGTGGGAGGAGGGATAGCTCAGTGGTTTGAGCATTGGCCTGCTAAACCCAGGGTTGTGTGTTCAATCCTTGAGGGGGCCACTTAGGGATCTAGGGCAAAATCAGTACTTGGTCCTGCTAGTGAAGGCAGGGGGCTGGACTCAATGACCTTTCAAGGTCCCTTCCAGCTCTAGGAGATAGGACAGGTATTTCCCCCTCTGCTGTGTAAGGATGCAATATTACCTTTGCAGTGTGAGACTATGGCTAAACTACAGCTAAAGTCGACATCAGTTATGTCACTCAAGGGTGGGAATTAGCCACTCCCTGAGTGAAATACGCCAACTTAAGTGCTGGTGTGCATAGAGCTATGTCAGGGCACAGCTTCTCCTGCTCACATAGCTACTGCTGCTCGTGGGGGCTGGAGTAAATAAGCCGACTTAGAGCAGCTACACTAGAGTGTTTACAGCAGCAGAGCCGCACCAGTGCAGCTATGCCGCTGTAAGCTCTGTAGTGTAGCCATAGCCTCAGCCTATAGATCCGGGAGAGACTGCAGATGTAAACCTACCCTCACTGTATGCAATGCCAGTAACAGTCCAGCTCAAGAGGTAAAGAAACTGCCACTGGGATGCAGACAAGTGCTTTCCAATACATTTCACACATCAGCAAAGCTCCATTTGGTGGCATTCTCTCCGCTAGACCAGATGGGGCTGGTTGCTTAGCATTTTACAGCAGGAGTTTAGGAGCAGGAAAAAAGTTTAATTAGGCTTCCAACACAGAGAAGTATGATATCTTCCAAGTAAATAACTAACCTGCGCTTACGCAAAGCGCCTCATCTGTATAATTAAAAACTGCATAGACGTGCTCTGCTTTGCACAGCGCATTGAAGTCAGTTGGTATGCAGCTACTTTATAGTGTATGCTAATAGCTCAGTGGTTTGCGCATTGGCCTGCTAAACTCAGGGTTTGTGAATTCAATCCTTGAGGGGGCCATTTAGGGATCTGGGGCAAAAAATCTCTCTGGGGATTGGTCCTGCTTTGAGCAGGGGGTTGGACTAGATGACCTCCTGAGGTCCCTTCCAACCCTGATATTCTATGATAGCTGCACATCTGGCAGAAATCAGTCCCATTATTCTATAGATGCAATGGGTCACGTAGCAAGGAACACTTAGGGTCTTATTCAACTGAACAAGCAAAATGTTTCTTATGTGCATCTGGAGTTTTTCTTCTGTTTTAAATATTTTCATTCATTAAGGGGAAAAATAAGACATGGAAGAGGGGATAACATAACAAGTTACACTCAGCCTACTGGAGTTAGATGCACTGCTAAGCTTTGGGGTGGCAGGAGCAAGGTGTTGGTTCAGGCCCAGCTCTGCTGTAGGCACAATCAAACCTTTTAGGGTATGGCTACACTGCAGCTGGAAGGTGTAATTCTTCTTCGAGTGATTGCTCACGCGCCTTCCACAATAGGGTGTGCGTGCTCGCCACGTGCACTGGTGTCGGAAGTTTTTCCCCTAGCAGTACCCATAGGGGAGCGCCCCTAGTGACCCCTGGAGTGGCGCCTCCATGGCACGGTATAAGGGGTGCTGCTTGCTTCCCCCACCCTCAGTTCCTTCTTGCCACCAGTGACGGTGCTTCTGAACTGCTCTGCTCCAGCTTTCCGGTAGCTTGTCCCCAGAACTCTTGTTCGGTCAGTGTATGTGACCTGTAGTTATTACTCGATTAGTTTTAGTTCAGTTTAGCTAGTGCACCCAGCCCGGGGCATGCCCCGCACCCCAGGTTTTAAGTCGTGCAACACTTGTAAGCGCCCAATACCACTGAGTGAGCCACACGCAGACTGTTTACGCTATTTGGTTGAAACTCATCTCAGCGATCGCTGTAAGATTTGCAAGTCGTTTAAGCCTTAGACCAAGAGAGACATTAGGCTCCGGGCTATCCTCATGGAGTCAGCATTGACCCCGGCTCCGGCGTGCCGCTCCGAGTCGACACCAGGCACTGCTATGTCAGTGCGCGGCAACCCCCCGGTGCCATCTACTAGTCGGCATCGCTCCCCATCAACAGGGCACGCCAAGAAGGCTAAGAAGAGGCCTTCTCTGCTGCGGCACCGCAGTAAATCTGGGGCAGAGACTAGACCCATGTTGGGCAGTCCTTGATCCCCATTGGCCTCCAGACCTCCAACTCAAGTCGAGCGGAGTAGCCCGGCCCATTCAGAGCAGGCTTCCCCAGATGTCCGGATGCCCTCCACACCGGAGGCCCTGCAGGTGGCCCGGGACGTCATGTCCATGCTGGTACCAGGAGCACCACCAATGTTGGTTCCACGCTCCAGAGACAAGCTGCCGCTGGGATCTCCGCAGTCACCCCCGACTCGGTACCGGACTCGGTCAAGGGAACGTTCCTGACGCCGTTTGCCACTCAGCAACCGTTCCGTCCACTCCCACCAGGTTGTCTGGCTGGGTTCCATCTGACCGAGACTCCAGGCACTGCTCCGCCTTGCGGAACGAACACCGACGGGACCGAAGCAGATGCCACCGAAGGTCCTCATCTCGGAGGGGCTATCGTAGCCGGTCGCAACACAAACATCGACGCCATTCCCGTTCGTCGTCTCACTCCAGGACCCCGCCATGGCACCGCCTCTGCAGCCCCGGGTGTCGATCGCTGGCGAGTCGCCGTCACGGATCCGCCTGTCGGAGCCGATCGCCGAGCAGCTGTTACCGACAGTACCAGTCCTCCACATCGAGGTTGTGGTCTCAGGGTCGGCACCGCTACCGGTGCCACCGCTCCTCCCGGTCCAGGGACAGTGGCAGGTCGTACATCAGCCCGGCCTCCCTTCGTATCCGTCCATCAATGGGTCAGGCCAGCCAGGCCAAACAGCCCACTCCCCCGGCGCCACAGCAGGTGCAGTGGCACCGGGCCCTGTGGCTGGCGCAATGGTACCAGTGGGCACTGTGGCCCCCGACGCAGCCCCCGATGAGAGTTCACTTGGTGGCCGGAGCCTCAGAAGGGCCGTCGGCCTCCCTCTCCTGGCCTCCGAGGAAGGAGTCGGTGGGACGTATATCCTTGACACTGTGCCTGGAGATCGACCAGGTGGTGGATCCACTGGTGCTGGTGGTGGATCCACTGGTGCTGGTGGACACAAAAAGTATGGCGCCGGCCTCCTCGCCCTCCCTTGATGAGGCAATTACGGCCCCTCCTCCCTCCATCCTGCAGGAGAACTCTAAGGCCCACCAAGAACTATTAAAAAAAGAGTGGCATCAAGCCTCAACCTCCAGGCAGAAGAGGTGGAGGAGCCCTCGGACTTCCTGTTTAACGTACTGTCCGCCTCAGTATCGGGCAGGATAGCCTTGCCTCTCCACGAAGGGGTGGCAAAAATTTCAAATGCCCTGTGGCAAATCCCGGCCTTGTTGGCCCCCCATCTCTAAGAGAATGGAACACAAGTACTTTGTGCCCGCCAAGGGGCATAAATACCTATACACCCACCCTGCCCCTAACTCCCTGGTGGTCGAGTTGGTCAACCACAGGGAGCGGCAGGGCCAACCTGCCCCTACTCCGAAAAATAAAGATTCAAGGAGGCTGGACTCATTTGGAAGGAAAATTTATTCGTCCTTGAGCTTCCAGTAAAGGGTGGCAAACCATCAGGCTCTCCTGGGCCAGTAATGAGTTCAACCTGTGGGGCTCTTTGTCCAAGTTTGAGGACTTCCTCCAGGAGCATGACAGGATTGAATTCAAAGCGCTGGTGGAGGAGGGTACAGTGGCTGCCAGGGCAACCCTGTAGGCAGCGTCGGATGCGGTGCACACAGCCGCGTGGTCCATGGCCTCTGTGATGTCCATGAGAAGGGTGTCATGGCTCCTGCTCTCTGGGCTGCCCAGAGAGGCGCAGACCCCCCTGCAGGACCTCCCGTTTGACAGCAAAGCTCTGTTTGCGGAACAAACGGATATAAAACTGCATGGCCTGAAAGACTCCCACATAACGCTTCAGACTCTGGGCCCCTATGTTCCGGCTCCGGCTAAACCTAAGTTTAAGCCGCAGAAGGTTCCCGCCCAGGCCGCCCACTCTAAATACGAGCCTGCTTATAAAAAGTCATGGGACTATAAGAAACACCCGCAGAGGCAGTCTTGGCCTGCCCCCCAGCCTGGGTCCTCCAAGGCAAACAGGCAGGGAAATGACGGTTTTGACGGGACACCCGGGGGCGCCCTGCCAGTTCTCATCAGGTATCCACCTTTAATAAAGCTTCCCTTCTCCAATTGGTGGTGTTCTTTCCTCCCGGAGTGGTCGTGGCTGACGTCGGACCAATGGGTCCTCAACACCATCTCCCGGGGCTACACCCTCCAGTTTACCTCCACCATGCCCAACCACCCTCCGCCCCCATACCTCCTGGGGACCCCTCGCATGAGGCTCTGCTTGAGCAGGTGGTGGGGCGGCTCCTTGGCCTAGGAGCGGTGGAACTGGTGCTAGTGGAGTTCAAACGCAAAGGGTACTACTCTGCTATTTCCTTATCCCGACGGCCAAAGTGGGGCTCAGGCCCATCTTGGACCTGCGAGGCCTGAATCACTACATGGTAAAGCTCAAGTTCCGCATGGTCTCCCTGGCCTCCATCATCCCCTCCCTGGATCCCGGGGACTGGTACACCGCCCTCGACCTGCAGGACGCACACTTCCACATCCATGTATTCCTGGGGCACAGACGCTTCCTCCTTTTCACGGTTGGGCAGGAACACTACCAATTTACTACCTCCTGTTTGGCCTGTCCACTGCCCCCAGGGTATTTACAAAGTGTATGTCGGTGGTGGCGGCCTACCTCAGGTGCTGTGGGATCCAGATCTTCCCCTATCTGGACGACTGACTGGTCAAGGGCAGCTCCCGGTCGCAGGTGCGGGATCATGTGGCGCTCCTTCTGTCCATGTGCACCACTTTGGGCCTGTTGGTAAACGACACCAAGTCCACGTTAGTCCCAGTACAACAAGTTTATCGGGGTGGTCCTAAATGCCATGTCAGCCAGAGCCTCCCTCCCACAGGACAGGTTCGAGACCCTGAAAGAGTTCATCAACACGGTCACAAGGTTTCCAGTGACAACAGCCAGAGAGTGCCTCCAGCTCTTAAAAAGAAGAACAGGAGTACTTGTGGCACCTTAGAGACTAACAAATTTATTAGAGCATAAGCTTTCGTGGACTACAGCCCACTTCTTCGGATGCACCTGTTCTTCTTTTTGCGGATACAGACTAACATGGCTGCTACTCTGAAACCTCCAGCTCTTGGGTCACATGTCAGCGTGTACATATGTGGTCCGCCACACCAGACTCAGGATGAGGCCCCTCCAGCTCTGGTTGGCCTCGGTGTTCTCCCAGGCCAGAGACAGGACGGACAAAGTCCTCACTGTGCCCGAACCAGTGATCGCCTCCCTTCAATGGTGGTCCTCCCCAGGGAACATGCTCCACGGGGTCCCGTTCAGAAGCAGGTCCCCTTCAATGGAACTGGTGTCCAATGCATCGGACCTGGGGTGGGGAGCCCACGTGGGGGACGTTCAGACCCAAGGTCTGTGGTCTGCGCAGGACCTGGACCTCCACATAATCATCAAGTTGCTCAGGGCAGTGCAGCTGGCGTGCACGGCCTTCCACTCGCACCTGGAGGGCCGGGTGGTCCGTGAAAACCCTGACAACACGGCCTCGATGTTTTACATCAACAGGCAAGGCGGGGCCCGATCCTCTGCCAGGAAGCCCTCAGGCTGTTGGACTTCTGTATAGCCCACAACATTTGCCTACAGGCAGTAGCGTAGCTAGGGGGGAGCGCAGCAGCGGCTGCTCTCCCACTGAGCACAAGTGGCGCCTTTTCAATTTCTTGGGGCCTTTTTAATTTTTTTTTTACTCACCTGGCGGCGCTGCAAGTCTTCAGCGGCACTTCGGCGGCAGGTCCTTCACTAGCTCCGGGTGTGTTTGGTGGCACTGAAGGACCGAAATGCCGCCGAAGACCCGCGGAGCAAGTGAAGGACCCGCTGCCGAAGTGCCGCTGAAGACCCGGAGTGCCGCCCCGTCAGTAAAAGCGCCGCCCGGTGAGTAAAAGCGCGGCAGCGGATGGCGCCTTTTTTTGTGATCGCTTCCCCTGTTCATTCCACCTGGCTACTCCACTGCCTACAGGTCTACCACCTACTGGGCGCCCGGAACTCGCGGGCAGATCACTTGAGCAGGGACTTCGCCTCTCAGCACGAGTGGTCTCTTCATCCAGAAGTGGTGCACAGACTTTTCCAAGAGTGGGGCACTCCCCAGGTGGACCTGTTTGTGACTCAGCAGAACCGTCGCTGTCCCCAGTTCTGCTCCAGGGGGGGTGGGGGGAGAGGGGCTGGGACAGGGCGCTATCTCCGATGCCTTCCTCCTGTCCTGGTCGGGCCAGTTTCTCTATGCCTTCTCCCCGTTCCCAGTGATAGGCAAGGTCCTGGAAAAGATAAAGATGGACAGGGCTCAGGTCCTACTGATTGCCCTGGCATGGCCCAGGCAGCATTGGTACAGGACCTTCACAGGCCTGGCGGTCGCCCGGCCGTGGCCATTGCCGTCCCGCCCAGACCTGCTCTCCCAGGACCAGGGCCGCCTCCTCCACCCCAACCTAACAGCAGTCCACCTCACGGCGTGGCTGCTCAGTGGTTAGGCTGGGAGGAGAGGACGTGCTCGGAAGGGGTTCAGCATGTCCTCTTGGAAAGCAGACAACCCTCCACGCACCAAGCCTACTTGGCAAAGTGGTCTCAGTTCTCCCGATGGACAGATGAGCGGGGCATTTCCCCCATGGCTGCAACGATCCAGCTCATTTTGGACTACCTCCTTCACCTTAGAGTCCAGGGCCTGGCACCCTCGTCTGTCAAGGTGCACTTGGCAGCCATATTGGCCTTCCACCTGCTGGTGCAGGGCCACACGCTATTCTCCCATGCTATGACTGGCTGATTCCTTAAGGGATTGGATCGTCTCTTCCTGTACGTCAGCCCCCCAGTGGGACCTGAACCTGGTGCTGGCCCGCCTCACGGGCCCCGTTTGAGCTGCTAGCTACATGCTCCTGGTCGCTCCTCTCGTGGAAGGTAGCCTTCCTGGTGGCGATCACGTCGGCTAGGCGGGTCTTGGAACTCAGGGCCCTGACCTCCAAGCCCCCGTACACGGATAAGGTCCAGCTTTGCCCACATCCTTCATTCCTCTGCCTACCACATGGGTCAGGACATTTTCCTGCCAGTCCTCTGCCCGAAGCCCCATGCGTCCAGTGAGGAGCGCCACCTCCACACGCTGGATGTGTGACGGGCTCTGGCTTTCTACTTGGAGCGGACAAAACCATTCAGAAAGTCCTCGCAGCTGTTCATCGCCTCAGCTGAATGCATGAAGGGTCAGCCAATCTCCACTCAGCTGCTCTCCAACTGGATCACATCGTGCATCTGTATCTGTTACAACCTGGCAGGAATTCCCCCCACTGTTAATTGGGAGGGCACACTTGACTAGGGTGCAGGCCTCATCGGCTGCCTTTTTGGCCCATGTCCCCATCCAGGACATTTGTAGGGCTGCTACGTGGTCTTCAGTTCATACTTCCACTTCTCATTATGTGATCGTCTCCCAGACCAGGGATGACGCCGGGTTCGGCAAGGGCTGTGCTCCGTCCCAAGAATTTGTGAACTCCTATCCACCTCCAACAAATATAGCTTGGAATCACCTATTGCGGAATACACATGAGCAATCACTCGAAGAAGAAAAGACAGTTACCTGTTCCATAACTGGTGTTCTTTGAGATGTGTTGCTCATGTCTATTCCACATCCCCCCCTCCTTCCCCTCTGTCGGAGTTGTCTGGCAAGAAGGAACTGAGGGAGGGGGGCGCGTGCAGTGCCTCTTATACCATGCCATGGCAGTGCCACTCCAGGGGTTGCTAGGGGTGCTCTCCTACGGGTACTGCTAGGGGAAAAACTTCTGACACCGGTGCACGTGGCGAGCACGCACACCCTATTGTGGAATAGACATGAGCAACACATCTCGAAGAACACCAGTTACAGAACAGGTAACTGTCTTTTCCCAGATCAGGTAGTCGTATACACACTAGCTCTGCTCACGCTAGTGCTCTAAAATAGCAGTGTGGCTGTGATGGCACAGGCGCCAGCTCAGCCTAGCTGCATGAGAGTAAGTCCATCTGAGATCCTAGGGACATAGTCAGGTGGTTAGTCTGAAACTGCTGCCTGTGCCTCCATGGTCCCACTGCCATTTTAGCACACTAGCTCAAGCAGAGAAGTGCAGGTATGTTTACCCAAGTTGGGAATGACATCTTTCAGCTGCAGTACAGACATAGATCTCTTGTTGCAACTGATTCTTAAGACTGTCTTTTGTTTGTACAGTACTGTAACCAGGCGCAGACTTACCCGGCGGCACCTCCTGCTGGTCGTCTTGGGGAATTAGCTTCCAGCCTCTGGAGCACCCTATCGGCCGGTGTCGCGCTATCGCTGGCCCCCTGGCCCCCACTGTTTCTCCAGGTCTCCCCACTCAGGGGAACCCCCACCCACTACCGCCACCGCGCCTCAGTTGTAGGCTACTGCCAGTCACCAGCTCGCCCCCGCGCCCTGGGGCAGACTTCAGTGTCAGCCACTCATCATAGGCAAGGTTGGGTCTGGACCTGCTGCCTCTACCTATTGCTGGGCTGCCCCTTTGGAACCCCAGTACTTGTCTTAGGCCCTCAGCTAGGCCCGCAGCCTGGGGGTTTTCCAGGCTGGAGCTCCCCAGCTCCTCTAGCCTTCCCCCAGCCCTGCTCCATTCCCAGTACCCTGTTCGGCTCCCTAGTAGCCAGGCCCTTCTCTCTCTACAAGCAGAGAGAGACTGTTGGGCTTCTGGCTCGCAGCCTCTTATAGGGACCAGCTGGGCCTGATTGGGGGCTGGCCCCAGCTGTTACTGTCTTCCCCAATCAGCCCAGGCTTTGCCTCACAGCCTCAGCCCTCTCCCAGGGCTGGCTTTAACCCTTCCAGGGGTGGAACGGGTGACCACCCCGCTACAAGTACCTAGCACAATGGGGCCTGTTTGGAACTTTTAGGTGCTATCATAATCTAAATAATAAATAATACTAATAGGAGCATTGGGAAAGGAATATAGACAAGCTATACATTCTACAATGCTATCCCCAAATAAACTCCACCCATACATAATAAAGACACGTTAATAACCTTGATGCCATACTGTAGAGGTGCAAAGTGTTGTTGGTATAAGCACAAGGTACAAAGTGACAAGCAGGGAGATCAGCACAGTGGAATTTGATCCTGCGTGAATGAAAGCACTGCTGAAGGACTGCCAGGTTATTCCTGCCCGAAAATGGTCTAAGGCCTAATATAGAAATACATAGCTAAGCGTGTGTCATTTGCATGCTATGTATAACATGATCTAATTGATAAGCAGACTACTCCCTTACACACTAGACCCACGGTTTGTAATGAGAAAGACAGTGTCAGAAACTGAGAAGTGGATGGTCAGGCCCAGTGCTTGGAGCAGCAGCAGTGAGGCCAAGTGGTCAAGCCAGGACTTGAGCCAGGGGTCAGAGCAGGAACCAAGAACAGGGTTGAAACAGGGCTGGGGCAGGAAGTCTGTCAGAACCACCAAATGGCAGAGGATACTTCCAGCCAGGTAGCAATGTTGAGCAGGCAGGAGTGGCTGCTCTCTTTGGGAATCTATATACTTGGCCTTGAGGTGACCTGGTTAGACCTGCACCTGTGGATTGGCTGAGCCTTGGTTGATAACCTGGGGGCTCCATGTCACTCAGGCTCAGGGGTGAGTCATCAGGCGTAGTGATGACTCATTGCAGAGAGCTTCAGGGAATCTTACAGGGTTATACAATCTAGTTTACCATTCCCAAAAATACACTGCTGGCACTAGTTTCATCTCCATAGAGGCAGCCAAGGTATTCACTCATGCTGAATGGCCTTTCCTAATCCAAGGAATAGAAAGATATAGATTTAACGAAGACTTTACTGCTAAATGAGTTTGATTGCTCTAAGTCAATCCATTTATAGGAGCTGTGGTCAGCTGGGCACCCTCTCAGACTTTTCACCTCAGTCACGGGCCAAGGCAGGAATGCCTGCTTTCACCTTTCCCTCCCAAGCTACCTATAGCTGCAGCAAATTGCTCAATATGAGTGTCATGAAAGGTAAAGGGAATAATGGTGGTAGGCGAGGAACATTATGTACATCTGGCTTACTAGCCTTTGAGACTAAGCCTACCACATCTCTACCAGCTCTGATGAAAATAAGTGACCACTTCAAATCATGTTTCAGGCTAGCATAAGTTACACTGAGGGTACACTGGCACTGCAGCTGGGAGGGCGCTTCCTCTTATTGCAGGTAGACAGTCACATGCTAAAGCAGTGTCGCTGGGGGTAGCAAGCCGCCCAACTACATACCCCCAGGGGGTCCGGGCAGGTTTGTACTTAGGCAGCTAGCCCAAGCTGCTGCCCTTCTACCCCCCCCCCCAAATGGCTATTTTTAACAAGCTAGCATGAGCAGAACTGTCTGCTTGTGCTAGGTAGCACACTCCCATCTGCAGTGTATGTCCCCTCAATCAGAAGTTATGGCTTGCGGTTTTGTTTTGCTCTGGGTCTCTCACGCCTTCCAAATGGCCCTTACATCAGAACAAATAACCTGGTGTAATGGTCTCCTCAGATTTACCTAAGGATTTCAAATGGAATACTGTCCCAATTTGGACAGCTATAAAGGTGGACATGGAAAGATGGACTCATTTACCCTTCTCCCTTTTTGGCTATGTGCCATTTGTTAAAATAAATATCCCTCCCCCCCATCTTTTATACCCATTTAGTCTAAAATCTAATTTTTTCAGTCCATTTTTGGAAAAAAATCCATGAATTTATTAGTTTCCCTGAGGCCTTGTTTTTCACCTAAAAGGTTTCAGACACCCAGGTCAAAGGAAGGCATTAAATTTCGAAATTGTAAATATTTTTGTTCAGCCCAGTTGAGTTTCATACCTGATTGAGTAGAGGAGACTGCATGTGGCACGTGGTGTCATTGACACTAACTGCTGGCTCGCTCTCCTTTAATATTCTTCTGTATAACAACTTCTGCGGTCCAGTACCTGTTTGGAGCCATCTTCCTTCTTAGGTAACCCTGAGTTCTCAGGCAGGTGACTAGATAGTTTATAAACATTGGATTTATAGGGAGCTAAGGCTATGTCCAGATTTCATCTCTCAAAACGCATTCGCAGAGCTACCCAGTCATAATGCCAACAGTATACATAAGTCAGCTGCTATATGAAATGGTTCTTGTGGTGTGAAAGGGCACTGCTCTCCTTCAGCCTGAAGAACATATATTACATAGCTTTCTTAGGGGAGAAAGTATTTCTATTATAATCAATTAGTGGTGTGTTTCCATCAACTCCTGTGCCCTGATGGTGCTCTGCTGATTTGTTTCAACACAGTTATCCCCACAATTTAAATGTCACCTCCTCTGTGTGGTAAATGCTTAGAAGAAGGGATATCAACCCATTTGGGTCTGATCATTCCCTTCCCCTTCCTTCCCCATTACATTTTTAATACATAATATGAATTTGCCATATGCCCTTCTGTTTACAATGAAATTAAACCTGTCCCGACTCCCCACCCTTCTGTAATAGCAGTGGTTAAATGTCAAGCCTACATAACCCCTATTCCACTAGATGGTGCTAGCTGATGTGTACCAGGGACCTTGGTTTGTTGGTGCGGGTGGTATTTATAATAAGGTTGCAATACATAGGAGTGTTGGTAAGAGATTGAACTTTAATCCTGGGCTCCAGGCACTTGACCTGAGTCTGAATTACAAAGGTTAATACCCCAGTCATATAACAGGGGTCAGTATCCATTAACAGTACTGGCTACTGTTACAGTATTGATCATGTTGTGGGGTCACTGGCAACAGGGTTTTGAGTAATCAACTAGTGGGGTTTGTTTGTTTTTTTTCACAGTGCCTCCAGCTGTCATCAGCATCTGTGTGCAATGCGTATCACCCTGTTTCTAAGAATGATTTCACTGAAGAGAGTGTAGTTTATGCAGCACCTTAAGCATTTAGTAAATTAGGATACATATGAATGCCTGTTGAAAAAGCACTAAGGGCAAAAAAAATTATGATCAATAAAGCAAACATAACATTAAAGAAATTAGCAAGCAAACAATAAGAAGGCAGCCCCCACATATCCCACAACTCCCAGCAGGTTGGCCTAATTCCCTGTGTCCCAGAGCATAACCCAAGTGTTCTTGCTAATAAGTACAAACATAGCTAACAGTTCTTACACGTCTACATATTTCAGCACTAGTTTTCAGAGTAACATAACCAGATGTGTGGTCAATGCAAGAGCCATAATCTTAAATAAACAATAGCAGAATGTCAAAGCACAATGTGAGATGCTTATAAACCTGCAAATATTCTGTAACAGAAAATGAGATTAAAATTTGCATATATTTGCATAATTAAGGCACAAGCCATCACAAGCAGGTGCCTTCCCATTTTACAGTTATGCTGTAACAAAACCCAAATATGTTGTATTATTTTAGATGGACTATGGAGGTGCCTGCAATTGTGACGATCCTAGAGAGTTTGATAGATTTCATATATATATACACACACACACACACACACAAACACAGAGAGAGAGAGAGAGAGAGAGAAAGAAAGAAAGAAAGAAATGAATGTAAACTTCCAAATCTTAAAATGCATTGTGGAGATATGCTTGCATTACTCCCAATGTTTAACTTAGTTAACCTACAAAATGCTAGAGAGAGGCATAAGTATTTAATAAATATTTCTGTTCTGTATTTAGAAAGAAGCAGAATGATGTAGTCATATCTTACAGTGATAATGAGATACTTTCCATCAGTAACTAGGGAAGATGTTAAACAGTGACCATTAATGTTAAACAAACATATTTACTCAGCAGGACTGGATAACTTGCATCCAAGAGTATTAAAATAATTGGCTGAAGAGCTCTCTGAACCATTAATGTTGATTTGTAAGAAATCTTATTACACTGGGGGAGTTCCAGAAGAGGGGGAAATAACTAATGTTGTGCCAATACGTAAAAAAGGTAAACAGGGTGACCTGGGAAACTATAGTCCAGTTAGCCTGGCATTGATCCTGGGTAAATCATGGGACACAATCAATAAAGAATGAAAAGTTGGTAGCATACTCAATGCCAATCAACATGGGTTTATGGAATAAAGGTCTTGTCAAACAAACTTTATATCATTTTCTGATGAGGTTACAAGTTTGTTGAGAAAGGTAATTGTGTTGACATAATATACTTAGACTTCTGTAGGGAAATTTGACTTTGTCCTTCATGACATTCTGATGAAAAATAGAACTATACAAATTCAATGCAGACTACAGAAAATGGATTAAAAACTGGTTAACTGATTGATAATAAAAAATAACTGTAAATGGGGAATAATCCTCCAATGGCGGTGTTTCTAGTGGGGTCTCACAAAGATCTGTCATTGGTCCAATGCTACTTGATATCTTTATCAATGAACTGGAAGAAAATATAAAGTCATTGCTGGTAACATTTGCAGATGACACAAGAATTGATTGAGTGGTAAATAAGGATGAGGAGACAGGTCAGTTATAGAGAGCAATCTGAAGTGCTGGATCATTTGAACAACATTCATTTTAATGCAGCTAAATGCAAGGTCCTTCATAATGCAGCTAAATGCAAGGTCCTTCATTTAGGAACAAAGGATGGATGTCACACTTACAAGATGGGGGACTCGATCTTGGAAAGGACTTTAGGGTCACAGCAGATAACCCAATTCAACATGGGCTTCCAGGGCAATGCTGTAGCCAAGGGTATGTCTACACCACAGTTGGGAGTGCACTTCCTAGCACAGATAGACAGACATGCATTAACTCTGCTTGAGCTAGCACACTAAAAATAGCAGCATGGCCACAGAAGCTTAGGCAGGGGCTCAGGTAGCCACCTGACTACATACCCAGGAGGTCGGGTGGTTTTGTTTTCAGGTGGCTAACCTGAGCCGCTGCCTGTGCCACTGCAGCCACACTGCCATTTTTTGTGTGCTAGCTCAAGCACAGTTAGCGTGCGTCTGTCTGCCCATGCCAGGAAGTATGCTCCCAGCTGCTGTGTAGCCATACCCTATGAGGGTGAACGTAATCCTTGGACATATAAATTAGAGTAGGGAGGTGTATTTCCTCTATATATAGCATTAGTGACATCATTATTGGAATACTCTGCCCGCTTATGGCATCCCCATTGCAAAAAGGGTGTTGACAAATTAGAGGCAGTTCAGAAAAGAGCTAAAAAATTGATTTGAGGTCTGGAAAACGTGCCTTATGGTGAGAGACTAAAGAAGCACAGTCTATTTAATTTATCTAAGACTATGTTAGGAGGTGACCTGCTTGTGATCTACAAGTACCTACAAGAAGAGGAGATTTCTGATAGTATGTGGCTATTTTATTCTAACAGAAGGAGGTAGAATAAGATCCAATGGTAGGATGCTGAAATTAGTGGGCGAGCTTCTATGTAATACAGGTCAGACTAGATGATCAGGATGGTCCCTTCTGGCTTTAAAATCTATGAATGTCAAGCAATTCTCAACAGCATTGTACTTGTATTCAAAGCCAAAATAATAATAATATCTTATGGTTGTACAATGGAAAGGGAGGAATCCAAAAGATCCATTCCCTTTTTTGTTTTGTTTTATTTTTACAAAGCTTTTCTCTCTGACCTCAGGGAATCTGAATAGTGAGCTGTAGGCCCAAGAAATTCTGATAGAATCTTTCAAACTTGAAGGGGATTAAATGAGAAGTCTGAAAAATGTGGACATTTAATAAGAGGGGGAGGGGGAGAATATTTGTTTCAATTTCTCTCTGTGTGATCGTCCAGTGAATCTAGATTTGGTTAATCTAAATTATGAGAAAAGTGAAAGGAACAGAAGATGACTTGGATGCACATTAGTGCCAGGGATATTTCCTAGATCAATCTCTGATTTCAAATGAATTCCCCACACACAAAACGCCTGAGCCTGGCATGAGAAAAAACAGTAGATTGCTTCAATTTCCCTGAAGACATGTAAGAAAACCCAAAGATCTGTTACCTACAAAAAAAAATCAAGAGACTTAGCAGATTTATAGGTGGTTCTGTTGTATTATTTTAGATGGAATATAGGCTAAAGGGACATAATTCAATTACTGTCCAACATTAAACAGTGTTAAAGTAAGTTTGGGGTTTGGTGCACAGAGACCTTAGCCTGCTTAGTACCATGGAAAACACACCATTAAAGATCCTTTTAACCTTCTATTAAAGACAAAGAAAGTAACTTTTACATACTTTTTAGACTTGCGCTCACAATTAGAGAAAATTTGTAGGACCAATTATTACAACATACTCCCTCTCTTTTATGAATTATTACATTTCCCACAAAGTAATGCCCGTGTGCTTGCACACATCAGAGATTTGCGTACACATTCACCCATCAAGCATTTTGCATGCGGAGCTTTTAAAAATGGGTACCTTGTTAGCTTCAGGGGGAGCAGTATCTTGCCCTTAGTCATCTGTCTAAATGGTTTTTCATCCTGTAGGTGTGATCAGGTGCAGATATGGTCGAACCAGAGGACTGTTACTGCAGTGCATTTCTCTTTTTATTTTTCTGGAACAAAAGCCACATAAGAAGATTAAACTTTCCATGGTTTCACCATTATACTCATTCATACATGATACGCTTTCCCATAGAAGCAGACTTGGACCTACCCAATCCCCATAGTCCTTTGTCCCAACTTAGGAAACAAATGCTCTCCTCAAACTCTTCTTCTTCACTGTGACCTCCTCAGCATATCAGATTATTCACAATGATGTAATATCTATATTAATTACTTGAATGGATCCAAGGTCTCTGAGTACAGTCTTGGTTGAGACATCCTCCTTTTCGATAGGTCTTATCCTTTCCCAAATTAAGAAACTATGATTGCATGCAATGAAAATGGTGAGAAGGAGTACAGATCTGTCTGGGGAAGGCCACAAGTTAAAGCTGAAACGGCTGTTCCTATCACAGGGATAGTTAGAAGATGGTGTGTCACTTGTCTTGCTATAAGATTCATTTGGCCTCTCCAGAGAAAGCCCCTCTGGATAACAAATCTTCCCTTATAGGCATATTCCCAGTTGAGAGTAAGAGGTTCCTGCACCTTTTGCTTGCATATGCTTGAACCTCCCTGATGATGAAATCCTCTTCCATGTCTTCATCTCCTCTCACCTTGACTCTGGAGCTCCATGGCCTCTTCTTGTCCCTCCTCAAGACACCAACATGCACAGAAGACTTCAGTCCACCATCCCCTCACACCTTCAAAGAAGCACGGTTGCATTGCCACCCGTTTCAAACAACTTCACTGAATCCCCATTCATTTTATGATCCAATTCAAAATTATCATCTTGGTTTTAAAATTCTCCATGGATTTGCTCCAGCACACCTCCAGCACTTTCTTTTGCCTCACTTCATACTTACTCCACTTCATCTTTGTTTCTTCCTACCATCTCACCACTGCTGGTGTGAGAGGCTTCTCTGTGTCTCCTGCCATCTGGTATATCGTTCCTCTAGTTCTCAACATGACTGACGCTAAATCTTTTCAAATCTCCACAGAAAATGTCTCTCTCTTTTCCTTGGCTACTATTTAGTATTTAAAGGGAAAACGGAATGGAATAGTAAATCATTTACAATCTCCTGATTCAATTTAAAACATGACTAAACCAAAACCATTTATTTTAAATGTTCTGTATATTAATAGTTTCAAATATGAAATAATGAAGCAGGAAGCAGCTAAATTGCTGGTTTAATTGCATGTATCAAGGCAGGAAGATCAGAGTTGTAGTAAATGACATAGAAAGCTGTAGCACTAAATGCATGTAATAGTAGGTTTCCAATACTCTTTTGAGATATGTTCTGTATTTTTTTGTTTTTCCTACTTCAGTCTTCTAGGGCTCAAGCGGCCACATCACTGCAGCTTCCCAGCATTCTGGGTTTTCAGATATTTGCAAATACAGCATTATAACTTCCTTGCTTACCTGGTATATTCAGGGCCAGCCGCACTGGCCGCTACTCGGGCAGCTGGCCCAGGGGACCGCCCGAGCAGCGTCCGGTGCAGCTGGACCCAGGAACGGTCTGAGCAGCAGTCCTGGGGGCAGCAGGAGCAGCCGCAGCTTGGCAGACCATGGGTGCCGCTGGCCTCAGGCTCCCCCCAGAGCAACAGCACCCCAAGGGTACCCCAGAGCAGTTGCCCCCCCCGGGGTCCCCCAGAGCACCCCCCCCAGCTAAGATTTAGTCAGGAGTATATTTAGTACAAGTCATGGACAGGTCACAGGCCATGAATTTTTGATTATTGCCCATGACCTGTCCATACTTTTATTTAAAATACCCATGATTAAATTGTAGCCTTACTTATTACCAATGATAACTAATGGAAATTCCCATTAAGTACAAGTGGTATAACCTGCACTTTAGGAACTGAAGTTCTTGGGTTCTATCCCCCATGCTGCAAATGTGTGGTCTAGCCGATGACTATAATGTCTGCATATATGCAGCACTTACACTGGTCACTTTGGTCAGAGACTGTGCAAGCAGAATGGAGATTTTGAAAGATCATCCACTTATCTGGACTACACTGCCTTTGGGAGTGTTATTTCCATGCCACCACATAAGAACGGCCATACTGGGTCAGACCTAAGGTCCATCTAGCCCAGTATCCTGTCTTCTGACAGTGGCCAATGCCAAGTGCCCCAGAGGGAATGAACAGAACAGGTAATCATCAAGTGATCCATCCCCTGTCGCCCATTCCCAGCTTCTGGCAGAAAAACTAACACTTCAGTGCCCTACCAAAATGACTAGTGATGCATAGAAGAGGTCAGTAGTGCATCAGTGAGTATCTAATGGCACAGGAGAGTTAGGGAGTATTGGAGAAGGGCCAGAAGTGAATGCAATTTGCAAGAGGGACTTTGGGGAGCATAACATTCTCTAAAGGATGGCACAGGGGAATATTGAAACAGGCCAGCAGAAAGTCAGGAATGTTATAGGAGCATCAAGAAAGGCTGGGGAGCTCTGGGTGGCTGAGGAAATCATGAAAAGAGGAGTCCTTAGGCAGCAGCAGGGAGAAATGTAGAGGCCTCAGATAAGGCTCAAAACCCAGAACTGCAATCAAAGGCTTCCAGTTGACAGGAAACTTTTCTTTCCTGAGCTGTGAAGTTCTAGGACCCAGGACTCAGAAATTTCTTCCTTCCTAGGGCTCAGAAATTCTCTTGGCAGCTCCAGCGATGGATTCTTCTGCACTTTCAGCTTTATGCTGCACTCAGAGAACTAAAGCTATAATGGCTGTTATTCACATTTTCCTCAGGGCATTGCTGTAATGTAGGCCATGCTTAATAGTGTACAGAGAAAGAAATACGTTTTAAAAACAAAATTGTAGTGTAGTGTGTTGTAGAAATCATTGAACAAAACTAATTTTCCATAATACAGTCTACAGAAGGGCTTGGTTAGATATTGGTAATAATCCACAGTTTGCACTCCACTTACGTACAGCATCCCACTATCAACATTAGGACCTTCAAATGTAGGTAGGCTTTTACAAACCAAGGGCAAGCGCATTAGAATTTCTCTTCTCTCTGCAGGATGCAGCAATGTTGTTTCTTTACTTAAGGTTCACTTAGCTTCCTGGCATACATAACATTATATTCTTATCAGGCTGGGTTGGCCAACATCCATCACTGCAGTGCCCTGGGAGGGGAGGCCTGAGCTGAAAAGTTGCTCAGATTGGGAACAGAACCATTTTTGCAACAAAAGAACAAGGCTGAGAGTGATGTTTGTGCATTCCAGGGCTTTTGCCATAAGGATAATGCTCAGATGGCAAGCTTGCAATCATACCACCTTGAGCAGCAAGCTCACCAGACCTCATACGGTTGGGTCTGGTCAAACCTTGGATTGGAGGGCCTCAGGAAACCCAGTGTGGTGCAAGAAGAGTTGTGTTGGCAATACAGTAGGCAGTGCTCTTCCTTCTGAGTTTGGGCTCACCGTCCCTATTCTTTTTTCTCTTATCAACAAAAAATTTGCATTTAGAATTCTCCTAATAGATGCACATGATCATAAAGATCTTAAATTTATACCACACCTTTCATCTAAATGGATTTCAACGCATTTACAAACTTTACTGCTTGTTCAAGCTATCTATAGGAATTACTTCACTCTAAGTGGAGCCATCTCTAGGGTGAAATTTGGCATCGGTTTAGCGGTGTACTGTACCATCCCTCCTCACTTTAGGATGATACGTGAGGATAAATACCATATCAGACTGAAAATGCAACGGGAATACACCTAAATTCAAATATGACCAGGACACTGGGACTTACACCTCTAATATTGCCAAACAATGGCATGCGTTCCTTAATGGTCAGAAGTGTTAACAACGTGAGGCCATGTTACAGTACCACTTATGTTGGCAACACTTATGTCACTCAGGGGTGTGAAAAAACACCCCTGAGCGACATAAAGTTTCACCAGCATAAGTGGTAATATGCACAGTGCTAAGTCGGTAGCAGAACTTCTCCTGCTGACATAGCTACCACCACTCATTGGGGTGGTTTAATTATGTTGATGGGAGAGCTGCCTCCCATCGGCATAGAGCGGCTACACAAGAGATCTTACAGTGGTACAGCTACAGCAGTACAGGTCTGTCACTGTAAGGTCTCTAGTGTAGACATAGGGCTTGGCTACACTTGTGAGTTACAGCCCAATAAAGGAGCCCTGGGGGCCCTAGCTCACTACCCATCCACACTGGCAAGGCACATAGAGCGCTCTGACTCTGTGGCTACAGCGCTGCTGGTACTCCACCTCAGCGAGTGGAATAATGTTTGCTGTGCCCCCGCTGGAGCACCGCGTCGCCAGTGTGGACGAGGTGTTGCATTACTGCGCTCTGATCAGCCTCTGGAAACGTTCCATAATCCCCTTAAATCAGGTGGCCATTCTTGTCATTGTTTTGAATCACTGTAGGAATGCAGATATGCCCTTTGAAAGCTCTGTTTCTGACAGCTGGGAATGCTGTGTGAGAGAGAGAGAGAGAGGGACGGGGGGGGGGAAGGGGAGGTCTGCTGCTGTCTGAACTTACAAGACAGCATGCTGACGTGCTCAGCCCCCCAAAACCTCATTCTCTCTCCCCCCACATACACACAACACGCTCCCTCTCACACTCCACTCCACCCCACCCCACCCCATTTGAAAAGCACATTGCAGTCACTTGAATGCTGGGATAGCTGCCCATAATGCACCACTCCCAATGCTGCTGCAAGTGCCGCAAATGTGGCCACGCCAGTGCGCTGTCAGCTGTCAGTGTGCTCTGCCATACTACCCCCCGCCCATTCCCCCCTCCCCCTTATGCCTGGCAACTCCCATGCCCAGTGCCCCTCTGGCCCACAGAGCCCTATAACCAGCCCCCCCCACTGCCTAGTGCCTCTCTCACAGCCCCCCCACAACTCCCCAGCACTCCAT